AAGAATATAAAATAATCAGCACTGCTGCAAAAAGTCTCATTAACTTACGTTGATTCTGTCGTGTTTTTCTCTCATATGTATGTTAACAAAGGTCAGACATACTAAACTAATTTAAAAACCAAGATGCTGATGCTGTTTTTTATAAATGTGTTACCTCTTAAAGGCACAGAGACCGTTTTATACACGACTATCACACATCTTAAATATTTTCTTAAAACTTAAGAAGACTCTTATTTTGGAGGAGACACGATGCTAATTTAAAAACACATTCACCAAAATCAAAACTTATCGGAGAACCTCCCCTGGTGTCCTTGAGTTTTAATTTAATTTTCAGCTTTCTTTTATTTCTTTTAGACTTTTCTTTATACCATTTCCAACACTGTGTTGGTTTTAATGCACCACATTAGCGTTTTTATCTGTTTTAATGTCTGATTTCTGCTGCGACTAACACACACATTTATGCAGAAGGAACATATATCGTTATATATTACACATTATTTTTTATTCTCTGACATTTATGTTATTCAAGATCAGATAGACTAAATTAAATTAAAAAAAACAAGGTACTACTTACCTTTTAAGGGCAACAGGACGCTACTTTTCCACACTATTACGCCTCTTTTCTTAAAATGTGCTTTTATCCGAGAACCTTTCCTGATTTCCTTGAGTTTTAATTTAATTTTCAGCTTTCTTTTATTTCTTTTAGACTTTTCTTCATACCATTTCCAACACCGTGTTGGTTTTTATGCACCACATTAACGTTTATATCTGTTTGGCAGTCAGATTTCTGCTGCGACTAACACACACACACACACACACACACACACACACACACACACACACACATATGAGTACTGAAGCTATTTTGCAGCAATTATCATTATATGACACATTATTTTATTCTGTTGTGTTCTTCTCTGACATTTATGTTATGTTAAACTACATTTATATAAAAAACCCAGCCTACTCCTACTATATTTCATGAATGTGACCATTTTATACACTATTATCTCATCCTAAAACTCACTTTAATCCCAGAACCTCTCCTGATTTCCTTGAGTTTTTGATTTAATTTTAAACGTTCTTTTATTTCTTTTATGTTAATACCTTTTTTCCCAACACTCTTTTAGTTTTCATGCTTCAAGTTGTGTTTTTATCTCATTTAAATGTCTAGTTAGAGATTCTTCTTCTTCTTCTTCTTATTATTATTATTATTATTAATAATAATAATAATAATAATAATAATAATAATAATAATAATGTATATTACCTATGACAGTTTAAACAGCTGTGTGTATCAGAGTTAAACCATCTGGAGGTGTCTAACTGACTGAAGTGACCTGGAAGTTGTCTGAAGGTGTTTCTTTCCTACGTCTTGTCCGTCCAGCGTCACGTCCAGACGCGTACAAAGCGATGCACCATCCGCGGCCGGCCCACGTAAACAACGTCGCCGCCTGATTGCATATCCTGAGTCGGAAACTCTCGGCGCCGCGGCCGTCTCTATAAATTCCCCGTCGCATCTTCCCTTCGCCTTTTGACGTCTTTTTTTCCGTCGAGTTCAAGGAGAAGACATCATTTTCGGGGGGCTTTTTTCAACCTCGAGCTTTTCCACCACAAATTCAGAGCCGGAGCCGATAAATCTGATCGAACCGCCCGTATGTACCCAGAGGCTGAGGTGTGCGTCGGGCTCTTTTTAAACTATATATTCTGTTCCACATCTGGTTTTACAGTCACCTGGCTGCAGGAATCTTTCCAGCACAAACCCTCTCTCTGTTTTTTCCTTAACAAAGGCGCTGAGCTGTGAACACTTGGGGGCAGTGCGGGACTGAATAAAGTCCATCTCAGAGCTCCACTCAACATCTGTGCAGCAGGTAAACACACATCGAATGTCAGTGGAGCTAAACAAAGCTGCTGCACCTCACACAACACAAACCTGCTGCTTCCTGGGCCGCTGACACTCAGTTTAACAGACTGTGATTTTGATTTTGAAGGAGGAAAAATACTTTAATGTAAACAACACATAAATTATTGCACTTGACTGAAGAGAAAATCAGTGTTTAAGAGATGGAGGAGCTACGGGATAAAACGCAGCTTTAAAAGTGTTTGTTTCACCCAAAACAGACGTTGGACTGCTGATGTTTGACCTGAAAGCTATGATACATCCCATAATATTGACAGCTGGCTACAGGTCATTTAGGATGATTTTTGAGTAATTCTGGTCAATTTTAGGAGGTTTTATTCAATTTCTTTTGTGATTTTGTTCATTTTTTTCAACTCATCTAGGACAAGTTTAGATAGATAGATAGATAGATAGATAGATGGATAGATAGATGGATAGATAGATAGATAGATAGATGATAGATAGATAGATAGATGGATAGTTTATAGATAGATATTTATTTGTCATATACACAGCATAACAAACTACCTTGTCTACATAACAAAAATATTTAAATTAACAAAAAACAAAACAACAATAATAATATAAGCAGATAAAGTGGTGCATATTTGTCTTTTGGATCATAACCGTCACCATCATATTGATGCTACAGAAAAAATGGTGTCCTTTAGGATAATTTTGGACATTTTTTTGTGATTTAGTTGTATTTAGTTTTTTAAATTTTTACTCTTATAGGACAGGTTTTGGATCATCATAAACACGTTTTGAGTCATCTTTGGTAAATTATTTCAGTCATTTTGAACATCTTTTTCCCCTTTTTGTAAAAAGCTTTTGGAGAATTTGGAAAAGTTTTAGTAATTTTGGACAAATTGAGTCATTTTGGACAATTTTTAAAAAAAGTTCTTAACTTGGAAAAGTTTGAAGTCATTGTGGAAAAGCTTTGTGGCATTTTGGACAAGTTGTTGTTGGTTTTTTGTACCATTTTGTAAAGGTTTGATAAATCTGAGATCTTTCTGGACAACCTTTTAGTTATTCTGGAGAAATCAGGAGACGTTGTGGACAACAGAAAACAGATCCGGGGCACCGGTAATCGATATTAGACTCATGTTCTTGTCTTTAGAAAGATAAAATGAACAGAACCTGCTTCCTTATTGTCTTTTTTTAAATTTCAAACTCAGTCCATTAAACACCGCCTCCAGTTAGACAGATGATAAAATGCCTTAAACATGGACGTGCTGCTGCTCATCTCGCCACCAGGCAGTCCTGCTCTGCTGCTATTCGTGGTTTCATCGCTGTGGGTTTAGTTCTGTGAGCGCGGCCGGACGCCAGCGCTGAATGCGAGCTTCTGTCCCGTTGGGCCTGTGAAAGGTGTCGCTCATTTAGGCTCTGAATGGCGGCTCGGGGAGCTTTGTTCAGGTGGATTTCTAGAACACCTGCTGGTCCCAACGGGGCGAAGATTTACTGGTTTTCTTTCCCCTACGCGGATCATGTGATCGGGCTGATCCAGACACAATCCTGAACACTTTAGTCACTGATCATTAATCCACCTGCTGGACCAACGCTTCCTGTTTGGGTTAAAGGATTTCACACGGATCAAAACCAGCGTCTTACCTGAACCTGAGCTCCCTGCAGGCCTACAGAACGTGCCGGTTCTCCTCTCATGTGACCGGGTCGTGTCAGAGGTCAGTCCGACCCCCTCCGTCATACCTCCACCCCCCTCGTGGCGCTAAGCTCCGCCCACAGCGGCTCAACGCCAGCTAAGCCTCTCGTCAGCACTCTGAGCCGCCGGCCTCTCTTTGTGCCCAAAAAAAACACCAAAAAGCAGGTCGATTGTTCCCCAGGAGCAGCAAACACATCCCTCCTTTCTTAACTTTGCTTTTGTTTTTTATTCTGTCCTCCATCAGAGGAAAGCGTCAGATCCACTGACGGGGAATTAACTCGTCAAGCAGCTTTAATGTTCAAGGCTGATGCCTCTAAAAGGATCATTTCATCGCTGTGACTTGATTGTAAAGGAGGCTTGTAGTTTCTGTTCTTTCCAGCTGAACTATTGAAGATAACCTTCCTAAAATCACACGTATTAAACATTATGTGTGGTTTTCTCACACAGAGGAGGGAGCTGGAGATGTTCAGCCCAGCTAATGTCAGAGTAAACTTCTGGTGTTTCTGATGAGCGTTCATGCTTCAGATGTTGTGCCACAACATAAACACGTCTACATCTCACTATAAATAACACAATGACGTGTTACACACACGTTTCTGTGTTGATTGTTAGTATACGTGGTGTTTCTGTGCTGTTTATGGAGGTGGTACCTGTGGGTCCAGAGCCGGGCACAGAGCTGCTCCTGGGCTTCATCTCAGCTGGACATCGTGGATGATGTGAGAGGATGTGCTGTGGTGTTGCTTTCATGCATGGGTGAAGATGTATAAATAGTTTTATTCTTTTTTTGGTTTATTTGTTCTTTTGTTTATTATTTGTTTTATTTCTTTGACGCTGTAAAGACGGGTCAGAACTGGATCGGCTTCATTCAGCAGCTTCTCAGACCAGATAAAAGCTGACGTACATGTGCTTTATTATGTTTAAATCAGGTCTTTTTTGTCTCTTTTATTGAGTATTCTACTTTAATTCTCAGTAATGCTGACGTATTATATGTT